TTTCAATCCATGCTGCTTTTAAACAGAATGTCTGGAAGCTCTATAGTGGGTACCAGTCTCGATTTCAAGACTTCTTGTGCGGCATCACCACAAGCCAGGACCCCCGAATATAAGAGAAATCAGAGACTGCTTAAACTCCCGCACTTTCAATCCCAAATTGATAAAAGAGAAAGCGGATACCAACTGAAAGTCAGTCCCAGAAGTGACTGAGTGCAGCAAAGCTGTAGAAGGGCATCCCAAACTCTCTCCAGCTGCCTTTGCAATGCCTTTGTTAGCCAACTTGCAGTGTGGGCAGAATAAAGAGGCTGGGAGTTGAATGGCCAGCTGGTTGGCTCGCTGTTGCCTCTGGAGAGGCTGCAGCAGGGAGGCAGCTGATGTATCTCAACCACTCTCTGCTCTGAGCACAGAGAGCTTCAGCTCTCAGGATCCAGAAATGGGGAGGGCACGCTTCTTCCCTGCACCCAGGAAAAAAGGTCCGACCCCAGCATGGAAGGAAACCAGGATTCCCCCTTCCACAAGTGCATCAAAGACAAAGCACCCTGAAAGAAGGTCAATGGAAGCCAATTAAACAGAACCAATCTGTAACTGGACCTAATGGGTTCCAACATCAAGGAAGACCTGTGGAGGCACTCTTAAACAAATCTAGGAGGAATAAAATGCCTGCTTGGCATGTCCATCTCAAGATCTGAAAAACAAGAGAAGTTCCATATCCCCAGAGAGAATTCTGCAATAGCCAAGCTCTGATGACTCTTAGAGCAAACCTACATAAACATGGAAAATGTCCTTTCCAATTTCACACAAGGTATTTAAAAAGAAATAGGAATATGGATGGGTGTACGGGAAGCCATTACGAGAAGCATATTGAATTTAAAGACTCAATTTTACAGGATAACATCAAATAAATTATGGTACAGCTTGGATTTTAAACAAAGCTAAGGCCTGGATTAAATCTCTGTAAATGAATACTTGCTCCTTTTAACGACCCAGCTGACTAACATGTATTAAATGTCCAGTCCTAGACCAAATACTTTATAGCAACAGATTCCACCTGTTTTGGAAGGGAAGGACTTTTTATCTTACAAAATTCCTTCTAGACAGAATGGAGATTTTTCATCTCAAGGAATGTGGTGCATGTCAAAGTAAAAAAAATTGTGCACATGATCACATGAAATGGCTTTCAAATAAGGGACTTATCAAGTGAAGTGCTTTAGTGCTAGATCACCACATTGTTATTAGTATAACAAAGCAGAAAATAAGAAACAGCCTTGGAAAAGACAAAATGTCTGCTTTGCAGGGGAATGGAGTCTACATCTGTTGATGGCAACCCTAACCAAAACTACATCTGTTGATGGCAAAGGAAAACGTTTTTTCCTTCTCAATCCAAGGAAGCTGTTCAAGTTCTCAGTCAGTGGCTGAATGTCAGCAAGAGCCTGGATGAAAACAGAGGTACTGTTGAAAAGCAAATCAGGGTACAGGGGTCAACCCTCTCTTTAATGAGTCTGTTTGTTTATTATCTACTCAGTACTTGACTCAGAGCAGCATACATCATCAATAACAACAATCAATTTAAAGAAACCCATAATAAAACAAAATATTAAAAACACAATCCAAAAGAACAACATAGAAACAGATAAGTACTGGGGGGGTGGGGAATCATGCACTGGGCCATACCAGTGCCACATGGGAAAAAAACCAGGTCTTTAATGCCTTCCAAAAGGCAGGCAGGGTCAGGGCAAACCAAATCTCAGGGGGGATGGTGTTCCAAAGGGCAGGAGCAGCAGCAGCAGCAGCAGAGAAGTTTACAACCATCTTGAACTCTCAGATTCCCAGTTTGGGAGTATATACAGATTTAGCCCTAAGCCTGGATGCCCAAATTTAAATGATGTCCTAGTTAAAGCCCAGGAACTGTAAATGCCAGATCCATGGTAATACACTTTCCCAAAAAGTGACTGGAAACTTTGGCTAGTCCAGAAAATTGCAGCCAGGCTATTGACTTTCTTGTGACATTTCTGGCCACACGCAAAGCCCTATGTGTCTAGGGCAGTGTTTCTCAACCTTAGCAACTTTAAGGCATGTGGACTTCAACTTCCAGAATTCCCCAGCCAGCATGCTAGTCTAGAGACTACATCATTTGAAACAGCACAAGTTTTTGTTTTGTTTTGTTTTTAATTTTAGTTTACCCACCTGTTCAGGTCCTTAAAAAAAGTGCTCTTTCTGTCCCATAAATCAGATACATGTTTGACTAGAACTTGACAGAGGGCCTTTTCAGTGGCTGCACCCAGTCACGGAATTCCATACAGAGGAAGCCCAACTTAGCTAAATGCCAGTGTCCTTCTGCCAACAGGCAAATACACACTTTCTCCCCCAAGATTTCAGAATTTAAGCTAGCTTCCTGAGGAAGTAGGCTTAATCTGGTGGGTAACATTCATTTCTTATATATTGGTTTCTGAGTTTTTAATCAATGTTTTCATAGTTTCTGTATTGTTGTTAACTGCCTTGAGCGCTGTTTTTAGTAGAAAGGCAGAAAATAGAATTCATAAATAAATGCCTAGCTCTAAATTTCCTATGTATAATATGGCAGAAAAGTGATCCCCTCATGGTAATATCCTCCCACAAGACAAACTTCCAACCTTTCTATGACCTTTATCTGGTTCAGCCCAGCCCACCATCCTAACAACAAAAACTTCCTGCCAATCCAAACTCAGAAAATTGGCCCTGATATCACCTAGTTCTCAAGGGCCTCTATATGCTACTTTGGGAGCCGCAGGATGAGAATCTCCCATTATTTTAGTGCTAATGCAAATTCTCCAGTTATTAAAAACATTCAAGGGTGGCTCAGAGCAGCAGCTTCAAGCCCTCCTCTGCTACGAGACCGCCAGGATTTCAACAGCACCGCTTTGGAGTTGCTCAACAAGAACAAAGCCCTGTCTATGTCCAGCCAAGCAGCAAGCTGACGGGGAGAGGAGGAGGGATTCATATTCCCGGGCATCCACAATCTCCTGGCCTCATGCATGGGACGAGCCGCACATTCCCACGCACTGCAGAACCAGCTGGCTGGGAACATTGTAATAAGCAAGATTGGCTTCCCCAAACCAGTCAGGCAGCTTCATGGGAGAGTGAAACCCATGCTGAATAATAGCCCTACGTTCTATTTACCTTTTGCAGCAATTATCTCATCCCTGGCATCTCGCTGCACGATTCACAGGCCAAAGCAAGTTGCTGCTTGACACTCAATTAAATCATCTTATCTCCTGCTTGCATCTCAGTTTATTCCCAGAGCACAAATTGGGAACAAAAAGTTTGAGTGAGCATGCATGGGGGGAGGGGGAGGAGGAGGAGTGGATTTCAGGGCACAGCCTGGGCCACGGGACTCCCAAGAAGCATGAGAACTGGCTGCCTCCATTGCTGAGCTGTGCACTCTTTAGTGGGGCTCCAAGATGCTGTTCTACTTTCACAGCCAGGAAACTGCAACTTCTAGGCCAGACAGAAGCCTGGTACCTTTGGGCCTGGAGCACTGGCTGGAGGGATTCCTTGGCAGTTTTTTGGGAATTCCTTGCAGCAACAATAAAAGTGTGTACGTCCAACAGAATGTGAAGGAGGGAGACCAGGGGTGACAGCTGCTACTACATCTGCCGGAGCCATCAACCCCTCTTTTCACTATCCTGTAAACACAATGCAGCACATAACAAAAGCACCACCATCAGGATAATTTCATTTTAATTTCAAGTTTAAAAAATGGGGGGGGGGAGGGAGGCCTTAACATCCATGTATATTTCCATTAATAATGGCTCCCATCACAAGAAAATGCAAATATTCACAGTACTTAGTGTGCTAAGATCAGCACTTTTGTCTATGTACACACCTCTTCCAAATTGTTCGCTCATAAAGCGAAGTATTTAAATTACTCCACTTTTTGAGCTGACAGAATATACTGAAGCACATACTAACCGAATGGGTTAAGTTCACACAATACGCTAAGTAATGAAAAATTAAACTTAACACTAATCAACTTCAACATCTTGTGTGACTGCATTTGCTGATTCTTTCGCTGATCCAGTTAAGTGTTTCATGTGAACACTGCATTCAGGCTAGTACATTTTTCTCCTATCCAGACAAATGTGTAGGTAGCACATATAGACACAGACCTAATATGCATCAATTGCGCAATCATATATATTATTCTGAATACGCTGTTAACTGAATGCTTCTAGTTACCTATCTGTACAGCAAGCATGTTCCCTAAACCCTATTCCCTCTTTAACCGTTTTGTAAATGCAGGCAGATACACAGAACTATCCTCTCCCAGGCACACAGGACCGCTAAACCCCAGTGGGAGACTAGAGAAAACTGCAAATCTCCCCCCACCTCGCCCCCCTCCCGGCGTGGTTGCTGAGGGAGATTTCATTTGAAAAGAAAGCCAGCTACAGCAAAGATAGAGTGAAGCCAAATCCTACGTCCACGCTCCAGTTTTTCCAGCTGCTCCAAGTTGAGAAGCTGGAACTGGCTGCAAAGAAAGTTTGCTTTAAGTAAATAAAAAGTGTAAGATTGTTTCCCTTGTAGCTCAAATCAGTGCCGATGAAATAACCCCCCCCCCAAACCGGTCCAGCTTAATCGCTGCCCGCTCTCCCCCTTTCCCCAATCTGGAATTAAACAATGATCGTTTATTTTCTTTGTGGTCGGACTCCAGCAAACTTTTTCCCTCCCCTCCTTCTCACGGGGGGCGGG